TCCATAGTTACACTACACCAATTTCCATGGGTACCCTACACCCATTTCCATGGTTCAGCTACACTAATTTCTATAGTTACATCATGTCTGTAACCATGGTTATGCTACACCTGTTTTCATGGTTATGATACAACCAATTTGACAGTTACACAACCCTTATTTCCATAGTTATAATCACACAAGTTACTATGGTTACGCTGGTTATGGTTAACAAGATCTTCAACTAAATCTTTTTATGTCAGGACCAGTCATTATTTTTTTCTCCCAGTTGTCTGCAATATTTGTCTTGGTTTATTTTCCAAAATAAAAGTCTATGTGCCTTTAAAAACTAGTTAGACCTTGTATTCAATACAGACAGTAATCTGGGTGGTGCGAAGGTGGACTAACAGTGGCAAACAGTCAGTGGGACCAATATCTGCTGACTATCTGGGTTATTCAGCTAATGTTAGCTAGTGTTTGCATTATTAGTAGTTGTTGCTATGGTAATGATGATGCAAAAATTAGTTGTCAGCTTTTCTGTATGTGCATGGGAGGCTGAGGGTGGGAGCTCACTTTATAGTGCACCCCACACCCGATCATTTGTGAAACGAAAACAATAACTAAGCCTTTAAATGAATTATGGTCAAGGCCAAAAATGAATCGGCGTGGACTCGAGCCAACTGGACTTTTGATTTGATTGCAGATACTGTACAGATCACAGCGTTTCAGCAACACCACGTCTAGACTGAATTTCCTCATCTCAGCTGGCTGTAACTCCCTGGGACTTTAAACCCATATAAAACGCTGGCATCACCCACATTCACACACACCTCCGTATCTGAAAGACACCATGAGTTAAATAAGATCTTTATTGATCTTTTGAAACTTGGGAAGGCATTATAAAATCATGGAAATTCAGTTAATTATGAAAGCTTGCATTTTGTCCACATTCCATTGACCATCATTCAAAAGTATTGAATCATTGTGCTCAATAATGTAACATCAAAACTGTTTTTCACATATAAATTATTTTAATATGACATTAGCAGCAATTATTCATATTCTAACGTAACTTTAGCACCACATAATTTTAAGATGTTAAATTTGCCCAGAATTATGATAGCTGCATGAATAACATAAATTATGATATAATTAACTTCCGGAATGACTCATTTTTTAGTTGCTAAAAATTAGAGCATATTACAATTTAATTTATAAAAATATGTAAGAGTTTTTTGGGTGCTGTTGTCCAGCATTGCGGTGTTCAGGGTGGGATTTACTGGCTTTGTAATTTCTTATGATTTCTTCTGATAATTTTGCAGTTTTATTACACTGAAGATTTGTAGATTTGTGTAACGATTGACAAAATTCATTATTATTTATAAATTTGATATGATAAAGTGGCGTCTCATTTCAATATTTTTTTTCATACAGCAAAAATAAGAAGTGTTTACACTACTATATGTTGATGTTTCTATTTTCAACATTATAAAAGCACAATATTTGAAACAAAAGATTTTTTATAGTGTCCTGATCTAACACTGCAGCCACAAGCTAATATGTTAGCCCCAATCTAACTAGCTGCATGCTAACATGCTAGTCACAATATAACTGCTGTGCCCCAATCCGCACACTACTATACGTTAACTACTACACTAATGAGTGCACTTCTAATAGTATTTTTGCTATTTTTGCATACTATTTAGTGTGCTAGTATGTGTTTTGGGTCACAGCAGTAGTTATGATACAATACAATACGCTGTGATAGAATTGGAAACAATATGGCATGTTGTATTGTTTCATCTCTACAAGCTAGCTAGCTCTGTCGCCTCAGTCTACTGTTACAAATGGGTAGCATATGTTGCCAAAACATGTATATATAATTCAGCATTAATGGTGCCTTCACAGATGTGCACGTCACCCATGCCATGTGCACTAATGCCCCCCTATACCATCATGAATACTGGCTTTTGAACTGTGTGCTGATAACAAGCTGAGTGGTCTTTAGCCCGGAGGACACAGTGACCATGATCTCCAAAAAGAAATTCAAATGTTCATTCATCAGACCACAGGACGCTTTTCCACTTCCCCTCAGTCCATTTTAAATGAGCTCAGGGCCCAGAGAAGGTGGCAGCATTTCTGGATCCTGTTTATGTTTGGTTTCTTCTTTGTGTTTTAGAGTTTTAACTTGCATTTGTGGATGCAGTGACGAACTGTTTTCACAGACAGTGGTTTTCAGAAGTGTTTCTGAGCCCATGCAGTGATTTCCACTACAGAATCATGTCTGTTTTTAATGCAGTGCTGTCTGAGGGCCCAAAGATCACAGCCAGCTAATACTGTTTTTTGTCCTTGTCCCTTACATACAGAGATTTCTCCAGATTCTTTGAATCCTTTAATGTTATTATGTACCATAGATGATGAAAATCAAAAGTTCTTTTATGTTGAGAAACGTTATTCTTGAATTGTTGCACTATTTGATGGTGCAGTCTTTCACAGAGTGGTGAACCCCTCCTCATCTGTACTTCTGAAAGACTCCGCCTCTCTGAGATGCTCATTTATACCCAATCATGTTTCTGACCTGTTGCCAATTAACCACCAGGTGTTTTTTAGCATTACACAACTTTACCAGCCTTTTGTTGCCCCCGTCCCAGCTTTTTTGGAACATGTTGTTGGCATCAAATTCAAAATGGGCAAATATTTTTCAGACAACAATTATTGATATGTTGTCTTTGTACTATTTTCAATGAAATATAGTGTTTAAATGATTTGCACATCATTGCATTTTGTTTTTATTTACGTTTTGCACAGCGTCCCAACTTATTTGGAAATGGGGTTGTAAATGAGCTCTGTTCTGATTGGCTACTTTGTATTGTCATTTAAAAAGCAGTCCAGGCTGAAACACTTCTTAAAACTTTATCGTGAGTGGGCGGGGCTAACCAGCTGTAGGCTGAATAGGGGGGTGTATGTAAATTAGTTGTCCTCAACAGTTTTTACATGCCATTTCAATTATATGGGCCCTTTGATTGTTCTAGACTAACTGTGTGCAGCAGGTAAAGGTTCCACCAGCTCAGTCAGGTGTGCTGCAGTAAAACTGTGGACTGGACTAAAGGTGCTCAGTGTGAGGCCTGATTTCAACAAACTGATTTTATCCTAAAATATTCTCTGCTTATTTCCACACTTTCGGTGTGTAGTGTGTGTTTCCTGATCCGTCCAGACAGACCAGGCCAGAAGGTGAAGGCGTTCGCTGCCAGCTGAGAAGACGCCAGGCAGCCTTGGCACCGACGCCACTCAGAGAGAAGAGCGTGATGGGACGCTGCCGGATCCTGCCAAGCGAACGCACAGCTGGCATCTGACTCTGAACTCAGTGATAAAACATTCACATCAGTCTCGATCGCTCTTTATTTAGCAGATCAGAGGAGCACTGTTTACAAACTAACCGGAGAAGCTCTAATACTAACCTTAATCTTCTCCTGAACCTAAACCCAACCCTAAGTTTACGACCAAGATTAAGGTTAGTGTTACAGTGAGTGTTAGTGTTTGAGGCTTTGAGTGAGATTACAGTTAGTGTACGAGCAATAGCAAGAGTTTAGGGTTAATGTTTAGGGTTTAGGTTTTAGGTTAACTTTTAAGTTTAGGTTTAGGGTCAAGGTTTAAGGTCTAGGTTTAGGTTTAGGTTTTGGGTTAAGGTTTAGGGTTTAAGTTTAGGGTTAAGGTTTAGGGTTTAAGTTTAGGTTTAGGGTCAAGGTTTAGTGTTTAAAGTTAGGTATAGGGTTAAGGATTAGGGTCTAAATTTAGGTTTAGGTTTTGGGTTAAGGTTTAAGGTTTAGGTTTAGGGTTAAAGTTTAGGGTTTAAGTTTAGGTTTTGGATTCAGGTTTAGGGTTTAAGTTTAGGTTTAGGTTTAAAGTTTAGGGTTTAAGTTTAGATTCCGGGTTAATGTTTAGGTTTAGGTTTAGGGTCAAGGTTTATGGTTTAAAGTTAGATTTAGGGTTAAGGATTAGGGTCTAAGTTTAGGTTTAGGTTTTGATTAAGCATCAGGGTTTACGTTTAGGTTTAGGGTTTAATTTTTGGTTTTGAGTCAAGGTTTAGGGTTTAAGTTGAGATTTAGGGTCAAAGTTTAGGGTTTAAGTTATGTATAGGGTTTAAGTTTAGGTTATGGGATAAGGCTTGAGGTTTAAGCTTAGGTTTTGGGAGAAGTTTAGGGTCTAAGTTTAGGTTCACGTTTTAAGTTTAAGTTTTGGTTAAGCATCAGCATAAGTTTAGGTTTAGGGTTAAGGTTTAGGTTTAGGGTTTAGGCTGAGCTTATGGTTAATTTTGGAATGACAGTTGGGGTTTAAGTTTAGGTTTAGGGTTTAAGTTTAGGTTTTGGGTTGAGGTTAAGACTAGTGTTGGAGTGGGTGTTAAGTTTAGGTTCAGCTATACATTTAGAGTTTACGTTTTAAGTCGAAATTAAGATAAAATTGGAGTAACGGTCGTTTTGGTTTTTGGTTAAGGTTTTGGATTAGTATCTGGTTTAGGCTGTGGTTTGATATATTAGGAAATTAGGTAGATATTCAATTGAATATAAGTTAAAGTTGAGAATGTACACTGAATATTATGACATCAGCACTGCTGTGTCCTTCAGTTTGCTCAGTTTTGGTAAGGACAGTGTTGATGTAACTCATATGGGCACATTTGAGTAAAATAAATTCAACGCAGCACTTTTTTAGGTGTACAAATCATCTCCAGTTCACTTTCTACTGAAGTGAAATAAAAACAAGATACAATCTCTCAGCTCAGGTTTTAATCAGCTCATCATTTTATTATTTGTTCTCTCAGCTTATGTTGTAAATAAGCTTAAGTTTACACAGGGTTGGCGAAGGCCAGCTGAGGTCACTGTGCAATTTATTGTATTATAGCCTCTCAGTGGCCCGTTTGCAGGCATGGCTGCTGTATACATGCAGCTAAAGACACTGTGGGAGGGGAAGAGGTGCCTTTAGCCTGATTGGCTATGCAGGGTTAGCACTGTCTGCTTTATAAAGGCCAAGTCAAAAGAGCAAACAGCCAGAGAGTCTGAGCAGGCGGCTGAGGAGAGTAGATTATACAGGCCGGTCTGTAAGGTCGCGGGCGGATAAACTGCTTCTCAGTCTCGTGCACTGTAGAAAATCGTATTTTTTTGCTTTTACGCACTGAAGTTTTTCACTGGCACCTTCTGGCTCCTCCCGAAGCTCATAAAGCTGCCGACTGAGTGATGCTGCTGCTGCTGTGGCTGTGGAGCTGACCGGCTTCAAAGAGCCAGTGTTGTTACACATTTTGTACATTTTTTAAAGTTCACACCGTGCCTGCAAAATGAAGACGCTGCTCGCTGCCTATTCTGGTGTCAAAAAAGGTGAGTTTGGAGGTTTGATTAGTAAATGTGCACAATATAGATGCATAGAACTGCCTGGCGAAAGTTTGGGGACACTCTGCTTTCTTTAACAGTTCAAAAATGTACAATTCCATCAGTTTTGCTATTTTTTGCAAAGAAGAGTGGAAATTTCTAACCAGCTTTGTACTTAATGTGTTAAAATATTGTAAATTGACAAAGAAAACAATAATTTATTTGAAAAAAAAAACACATGCAGGGCAGTTTACACTGATGAAAATATCAGCTTACAACATCATTAAGACTTCATAGCAGATTTACTTATTATACCATTTATGTTTATGATTATTACCTGTTCATCTTACACTGAATCCTGATATAAACTCTCAAAAAATGTTCTTCAAGGGTTCTTTTTGTACAGAACATGATTAGATGGTTCTTTGCATGGTGCAATTGCTCTTCAGATTGATGGAGAATGTGTTGTAGATGGTTCTATATAGCACCAAAAAGGGTTCTCTGATTGTATACAAGCTTGACCTCGTAACAATAGCAGAACTGTTTTTGGTGCTTCATGTAATCATATACAACACATTCTCCATCAATCTGAAGAACCATGCAGAGAACCCTTTAATAAGGCAAAGGGTTCTTTGAATGTTCATGGCTCTATCTAGAACCATTTTCTCTACAAAAGAATGCTCGAAGAACCACCTTTTTTAAGAGTGTATTTTTATCCTTTACATCAAATTTGAAACAGCTGCAACAATGAAACTGCCTCTAAACATGTCAGACAGTCCTCACCATCTATGGGACAGATTTAAGGGACAGAATTAGTTATTAATCAGTTATTAACATTGCCATTGCTAAAAAAGATGCTTTTACATGTGATAAAAAGCCTTTGTGTTACAGAAACGTTACAGAAAAACGTCTCAGTGTTTTGTACGTTTAATCATGAATTAACATATAGAGAGAATTCTTTACATTGAGGTTAGGATTAGCGCTGGAGTGAGTGAGTCAGGGAGAGTGGGGGTTTTAGTTTACGTTCAGTGTAAGGGATTAGGTTTTGGTTAAGGTGAGATTAGGTTTAGGGTTAGAGTGAGTGCTGGGTTTCCCCTTAAAATCTCTTATTAAGTCTTATTACACACTTATTACACACTGAGGCTTATTATTCAGTAACTACAGGGACTTCAGTGCAAACTGGCTGAGCTGTTCTTAGGTTATAGAAGTGTGTGTTAAAACTGGCTACTTAAAGGGTTAAAGATGAGCGTATAGAATGTGTGCATCATTTCCACATTAATAAAACACACCACATCAGCTCTACTGTGTCCTTCAGTTTGCTCACTTTAGATAATAACAGTGTTGATGTAATTTGTGCACATTTGAGGAAAGTAAACACAACTCAGCACTTTTTTTGGTGAACAAATCATCTCCAGTGGCCCCCATTCAAACAAAGTGAGATAAAAACACAATCTATCAGCTCAGGTTATAAGAGTCAGAGTAGCCTTTTATTTTTTTCTCTCAGCTACAAATAACAGGAAAAATAGCCTTATATTGTGTACAAAAAAAGAGAAAAAGTAATAAATAATAAGGCTAATATTGTTTACAAGAAAGGGGGAAAAATCAGGAAAAATGCCTAGAATTTTGCACAAAAAGACAAAACAAAAAAAAAACAAAAAATAGCCTAGTATTTTACAAAAGGAGAAAAGAATAATAAATATAAAAATTGCCTAGAACTGTGTACAAAAAAAGAGAAAAAGTAATACATAAAAAGCCTAATATTGTTTACAAAAAACAAAAAAAGAAAATCAGAAAAAATCCCTAGAATTTTGTACAAAAAGACAAAAAAAAAACCCAAAATAGCCTAGTATTGTATAAAAAAATAATAATAAACAGAAAAAACAGCCTAGAACTGTACACAAAAAAGGAAAAAATACAAAAATAGCTTAATATTAGGTAAAAAGGGAAATAAATAATAAACAGAAAAAATAGTCTAATATTGTTTACAAAAAAGAGAAAAAAACAAAAACAGAAAAACTGAGTACATTTGGCTGTGATTGGTGAGCTCAGTGATTAAGCTGGCTCATTGGTCACCAGCTTCCACCTTAAATGGTGCAACTGAGATGTAAAAGGGACTGGAGTAAAGGAGAGTCTCAGTAAGAGTGTGTTAGACTCATTCAGCCTCGGTCTCCCAGCATGCACCTGACCATTAGCAGACCATTGTTATTTCCAGGGGAGTTAAGATGGGATTAAGGGTCTCGGTGTGAAGTGAGATCAGGATGATCTCAGAGAGGTGAGGAGACGGAGAGGAGTTCTCTGAGCCGTCGGCCTTCATAGGAGCGCACTGTGAACCTGTGTTAGACTGTTTAATAATGAACTACACGAACTGCGACTTCCACAGCGCTGACTGAGCAGGTGCTGAACACTGAGCTGGGAGGTTAACACACAGGCAGCCTGCAGTTTGAGGGGTGAGTGGGTTTAAACAGTCCAGCGCTGTGTGAGGTTTATAAGGCACAGAGCAGCAGCACTCAGTGAGCTAACGCTAAACCCTGGGCCCATAAAACCTGATATTACTGCTTAACTAATACAAGCAGATCTCACATCTGATGATGTAATGTATTTGGAGTAATTAACTCCTGACCTCTTGACCTCCTGACCCACAGGCACTGGTTCCAGTATCCTCTCGGCGCTGCTGGAGCTCCCCTCGGCCCCCTGGCTCTCCAAATCGAAGCTGGTGAAGCACCTGCAGGTCATCTCGGTCCTGCAGTTCATCCTCACCTTTCTGGCTCTCGGTGAGGCTAACACTTTAGCACAGGTTATGTAGGACAGAGTTACATAAACTTCTCTCCTCTCTCTCTCTCTTTTTTCTCTCTCTATCTGTCTCTCTGTCTCTTTCCCTCCTCTCTCTGTCTCCCTCTCTCTATATGTCTCTCTCTCTTTCCCTCCTCTCTCTCTCTTTTTTCTCTCTCTCTCTTTTTTCTCTCTATCTATCTGTCTCTCTCTCTTTCCCTCCTCTCTCTTTTTTCTTTCTCTCTATCTGTCTCTCTCTCTCTCTTTTCTCTTTCTCTCTATCTGTCTCTCTCTCTCTTTCCCTCCTCTCTCTGTCTCTCTCTTTCCCTCCTATCTCTCTCTCTCTCTCTCTTTTTCTCTCTCTCTATCTGTCTCTTTCTCTCTTTCTCCCCCTCTCTTCCTGTTTTTCCCTCCTTCTCTTCCTCGCTCTCTGTACCTCTCTCTCTCTCTTTCTCCCCTTCTCACTTTTCCCTCTCTCTCTCTTCCTCTTTCTTTCTTTCTCTCTCTCTCTTTCTCTTTTTCCCCTTTCTTTCTCATCTCTCTCTCCCTTCTCTCTCTGTTTCTCTCTCTCTCCCTCCCCATCTCTTTTTCCCTTCTTTTTCTCCTCTCTTTCCCTCACTCTACCTCCCTCCCACTCTCTCTCGCTTTCTTTCCTCCATGTCCACTCTCTTTCTGTCTCTTTCTCTCTCTCTCTTTCCTTCTTTATTCCCCATTCTTCCCTTTCTCTTTCTTTCTCACTCCTTCTCCTCCCTCTCTTTCCCTTCCCCTTGTTTCTCTCTCTTTCCTTCTCTTTCTTTCCTTCCTCTCCCTCTCCCTCTCTCTCTTGTTCTGTCACTCAGTCTCTCTCTCCCTCCGTGCTGGTGTTTCTCTGTGGTCCTGTAGTTCTTCCTCTGATGTGTTACTGAGTGAGTATTTAATCTCACAGCTCTTCATCGTCACTCCTCACTGATCGAACCTGCAGCTGTTACACTTTGAAACAGTTTGTTCTAAAATGCAGGACAGACAGCGAAGACGACCTTGACGCTGCATCTCGACTCTAGAACATCCAATCTGAACTCTTTGTCTGTGTGACCTTCTTTAGGCCCTTTGAGTGCTGGAACGTTCTCATTTACAGCCATTCAGTCTGTGAGCAATGATGATCAGTGATCCTCAGTGATGATCAGTGATGCTCAGTGATGATCAGTGATGATCAGTGATGCTCAGTGATGCTCAGTGATGATCAGTGATGCTCAGTGATGCTCAGTGATGATCAGTGTTAACGCCTCTCCTCCTGCAGGAATCGCCTCCACGGTGCTGCTGGTCTACCTGTTCTGCACAGACTGCTGGGTCATCGCCGCCATCTACACAGCCTGGCTCATCTTCGACTGGAACACCCCCAAACAGGGTAAAAAAACAAAGACAAAAACAATTATTAATTATTAGATCAAGCAGCCGGTGCTAAGGGGGTTGTTTGACCTACAAACTCAAATTATATCAGCGTCAAAGGGCCATATCAGCAGAAACTGAATTTTTCTCACTTACACCAACACTAATAAAACATAGAGTAATATTCTGCTATAATATACCAATCATAAAAGAGCTGATACACTACACACTTTACAAAAGATGGTTCTCCAAGGGTTCTTTAGTAAAAATGGTTATGAATTTATTATTGTGCTGCACCATTTATGTTTATGACTATTACCTGTTTAGTTTATACAGCACTAAAATCTTAAAAATAATGATGGTTCTTCAGGGGTTCTTTAGTATAGAAAATGGTTCTATGCAGAACCATGAACACTCAAAGAACCATTTGCATGCTTAAATGATTCCTTGCATGGTGAAATGGTTCTTCAGATTGATGGAGAATGTGTTGTACATGGTTCTAAAAGGGTTCTTCTATTGTTACAAGCTTGACATCGAATAACCCTTTTCGGTGCTATAGAGAACCATCTACAACACATTCTCCATCAATCTGAAGAACCAGTTCACCATGCAAAGAACCATTTATGCATGCAAAAGGCTCCTTGAGTGTTCACGGTTCTTTAAAGAACCATTTTCTTTACCAAAGAAAACTTGAAGAACCATCTTTTTAAAAAATGTACGTAAACACTGTTGAAAAACATGCTGTTGACTCCTCAGTGCATATATGTACACAGCCAATCAGAACAGACCTCAGTTACATAACATAAGCTTGTAATATCAGTCTTAAAGACACAGTAGCAACAACAAGCGTTAGTACAAGAGGAGCTTTAAATGGAATATTGGTGGAACTGGCAACCATTAGGCCCCGTGTGATAAACAGATGTAACTATAAGCAGTGAAACAGCTGTATGTATTGTACAGGTTCTGGTTCTAGCTAATCCTTCTCTCCCAAACCTGTTTCACGTCAGGTGGGCGCAGGTCAACCTGGGTGAGGAACTGGACAGTGTGGACTTACTTCAGAGACTATTTTCCCATCAGAGTGAGTATTTCTACTGGATTCAGCATTCAGCAACAATCTACACGCTCAGTGGCCACTTTATTAGAAACACCTATTTTGTGCTCCCACTAACTGGCCACTTTACTGGAAACACCTACCTTGTGCTTCCACTAACTGGCCACTATATTGGAAACACCTACCTTGTGTTTTTGCTAGCTGGCCACTTTAATAGAAACACTTTATGTGCTTCCACTCACTTGCCACTTTATTAGAAACACCTACCTTGTGCTTCCACTCACTGGCCACTTTACTGGAAACACCCACCTTGTGCTTTCACTAATTGGCCACTTTATTAGAAACACCTACCTTGTGCTTCCACTCACTGGCCACTTTACTGGAAACACCCACCTTGTGCTTTCACTAATTGGCCACTTTATTAGAAACACCCACCTTGTGCTTCCACTCACTGGCCATAGTATTAGAAACACCTACCTTTTCATCCTGTAACTGGCCACTTTATTAGAAACTTCTACTTCATAGGCCAGCCAGAACTGCTGAACCGAACTGTTGCTTGTTAATGACTTTTAAAAGACTGTGATGCTAATTGGGTTACTGTGAGGGTAAATGCTCAGTAGTGCAGAGATGACGTTGAGCTTTATCTTGTACAGTTAAGGCTATCAGCTGTTGATGCTGTCATGTTTCTTTGCCCTTTTGATGCTGAACACAGATCAGTGGGTGGGGTAGAAATTAGAGCCACGCAGAGAGACGTCTGTAGACTTTGCACGTCCTGATAGAAGCGAGCTCGTTGCTGACTGTGAGCTTCTTGTTTGTCTCAAGACTAACCTCAGATAACTCCAGATAAACACTCAGAGATAAACACGAGTTACAATTTCTGCATTTCTTCAAAGAACATCTCCATGAAAAAGGAGAAAAAGGGCATTTAGATGAATTAATTGATGCAATCAAGCATGACTGAGACTCAATACTTTCATGAAAGTGGCACTTAATGCATTTACACATGCTGTCACATCAAAACCAGAACGGCCCAATCAGCATGTGGCTCTAAGATAAATAAATGGGTCGTTTAATGTCCTCGTGGTTGCTGTTGTTTTGCACTTTGCCCGGCATCTGTGGCCTTTAATGGGACCGCCCTGACTGCGTCAGTACAAAAAGCAGAAGAAGACGATTTAAATCAAACTGAGTAAAAGGTGCTGCTGCGAACAAGCATGAGCTTCAAATCAGCTCCAGCGCTAAATCTAAAGAAACTTTACACACAAACTGACTGCACTCTTAAAAAGATGGTTCTTCAAGGGTTCTTTAGTAAAGACAACTACACTCAGGGAACCGTTTGCATGCTTTAATGGTTCTTTGCATGGTGAAATGGTTCTTCAGATTGATGGAGAATGTGTTGTATATGGTTCTATATAGCACCAAAAAGGGTTCTGCTGTTGTTACAAGGTTGGCATCCTAAAAAATAAAGAAGAACCCTTTTGGTGCAGTACGGAACCCTTTTAAAAAAGGTAGAACTATAGAATGATACACCTACCTTGTGCTTCCACCGACTGGCCACTTTATTGGAAACACCTACCTTGTGTGTCCACTAACTGGTCACTTTATTGGAAACACCTAGTTTGTGCTTCCACTAACTGGCCACTTTATTAGAAACACCCACCTTGAGCTTCCACTAACTGGACACATTATTAGAAACACCCACCTTGAGCTTCCACTCACTGGCCACTTTATTGGAAACACCTACTTTGAGCTTCCACTAACTGGCCACTTTATCAGAAACACCCACCTTGAGCTTCCACTAACTGGCCACTTTATTAGAATCACCCACCTTGAGCTTCCACTCGCTGGCCACTTTATTGGAAACACCTACCTTGTGCTTCCACTCACTGGCCACTTTATCAGAAACCCCTGTATGCTAATCCCACAGAAGTGAAGATAACTCTGATCAAGAGTAATTAGAGGAACTGTTTGCTGACAAATCTCATCGGCGGCTTTGTTCTCTGAGTGATCAGGTGACGGAGCGCAGCAGCCGTGTGACAGATCAGTCCTGCTTCTTTCCTAATGTTAAAGTAAAACATTAAGATCATACAGAGCAAAACAAACGTACTTTTTCTTTGACAGCGAAGACTCAGATAATTAAAATATCAAAATAAAGTTTCTCTGTGCTTTTATAAGGCCAGTTATGTAAGCCTTCTCTGGTTTCCATGCACCCAGAAAATGCAGCATACGTACCTAATCTGTTTATTCAGTCTCCTCCACGACACCAGCTTTTGTTTGCCCTGTGGTTCAGATGTCTTTACAGTGGTAGTGATAGGAACCAGGGGTCGCCATGACTACAACACAGATATAGACATTTTATTTACTATCCAGAACCACCAGTGAACCTACACGAGTCTTCTGAGTTTATATGGAATGTTGATGATGGAAAATAGTGGAAAATCTGAAATAATACGTTTTCTTTGGGGACTATTTTGCCTCACAGCGCCCTGCATGTATCCCTCCACCATGAATGGAGTTTAAGTACTCAAAACTATCATAAAACAGTGTCTCAGTCATCAGGCAGTGAATTCATAACCATTTCATGTAGGAACTTTCTGTGAGGAGCTTTTAGAGGTGGACGTCTGGTTCCTATCACCACCACTGTGAACAGTTCTGACTCAGTAAGTTTCTCTAGGACGGAGCGTTTCACACCAAACCACTCTGAACCGCTCTGAACCACTCTGTTTACAGCTTAATTAGTTAATTATGCAGAAATTTTGAAAAATGATCTCTAGTAGACTTGATTTATGGAGTCTAAATTATGTATGTATCCTTGTTGCTTGTTAGCTACATTAACCTTGTAGCTCCAGTGCTAAAACTAGTGAAGAAAACTTCAACCACGTCTCAACTGGTGGACTATATTTGGGGTTTTGGGGGAGATTATCTATGCATATTGTTACAGTCTTTAGCATCCAAACAACTCAGAATATCAGAATATTTGATGTTTCTCTGTGTGGATATGAGATGGTTCTCAATAATGCTCTCTGTTTTTTCCAAAGCTCATCAAGACCCATAATCTACTGCCCAGCCGGAACTACATCTTCGGCTATCACCCCCACGGCATCTTCTGCTTCGGTGCTTTCTGTAATTTTTCCACAGAGGCGACGGGATTCTCCAAGAAATTCCCCGGAATCCGACCGTCTCTGGCTACGCTAGCTGGAAACTTCCGGCTGCCTCTGTTGAGGGACTACATGATGTTTGGAGGTGAGGAAACACCTTTTTGCTCATACACTGCCTTTTTATATTTAGGCAGCAGTTTTAGTGCTTTTATACAACACTTTTGCAAAGTAAAGTAAAAAGTAAAGCAACAAAGCAATATTGGCAACTTTCTTTTAGTCCCAGCTCCCGAGAGTAAAGAGACCATCGCTGTTACTCAGCAACTAGTTTGCGTCAGCGTGAAAATGTGCTGTTTGAGCAATAGAACATAAACAGGAGTGCGTTGTCGCAAATTAAATCACGGCTGTGATTCGGTTGCAGGTGTGAGCTGAAGGTGAGTACAGTAGTACATCAGTGTGATCTTATTAATAACATACAACCTCCAGTGTTCTATCACTTATAGAACAGTTCTGCAAAATTACTGAAAAAGAAGCCCAGAACATCATATCAAATGTGCTTTAACATCATCAATTGGCTGCATTTTAGATATTATCTTACAGAAGATATATAATGTGTATTCTGTTATTGTATGTGCTAAAGTAGAAACCTGGTAATGGTTAACTGTAGCGTTACTTAGCAACCGGTGCTCAGCTCATGACCTAGAATGTAGAATATACATTATACAGGATGCCAAATTAATACAAATGCATATAAATGTGTATTTAAGCATATTTATTATGAATATAATTTGGCATGAATAATTAATCTGACAGCAGTTTGTTTGTTTATTTTGATTTATTTGTGCAATGCCTCGCAATCACTGCTTATAGCCTGAAAAGCAGGCAGTAGATAAGAGGTTTCTCAAGCGAAGCCCTGCTGTTTTATGGGCTGAAGCCGGAGAACTGTACTCCGCTGTACTTTTCGAGGAGCAGATAAGAGCATGTGAGCTTTGCCCGTTACACTCAGTGCAGATCTGTTTACTCTGCTGTCGATATTGTTGGAAGTGTGATGAAACATGTCCTGCGTGATCATTGATTCTGGCAGAGCTGCTCTGCTATCTGGAGGCTTTCTTTAAAGCCATGCATGCTGATGAAATGACCAGAACAATCTGCTTCTACAATACAGGCCTGAAGGTTTATTAGGCAACACTAACTTAGTGAAAAATTGACCATGATAAATTTCATATAATCAAGAGATGAAGAAGAGTGTAAGTTCCATTGACTTACATATATATATATATATATTATTGAAATGAAGCCAGTGAATATATATATATATATATATATATATATATATATATATAGATATATATATACTGGCTTCATTTCAATGAGGACTCTTATTGTGGAAGGCAGGACTAGGAGCCGCCCCGGGTGTGAGTGAGAATAGGGAGAGAAAGACGAGAGACAGAGCTGGGTAACATACAAGCTAGAAACAAACGGGTTCTTTAAGGGTTCTTTAGCAAAGACAATGGTTCTCCATAGAACCATGAACACTCAAATAACCATTTCGCATGCTTAAAGGGTTCTGTGTTTTTTGATGGAGAATGTGTTATATATATTTCTATTTAGCACCAGAAAGGGTTCTTGTTCCAAGCAGAACCCTTTTTGGTGCTATATAGAACCATATACAACTCATTCTCCATCAATCTGAAGAACCACTTCACCTTGCACTATGCATGCAAATGGTTCTATGAGTTCATGGTTCTCTATAGAACCACTGTCTTACTTTAGTCTTTTTTAAGAGTGTAGAACCACAACACATTCTTCGTCAATCTGAAGAACCATTTCGCCATGCTAAGAATGCTTTACGCATGCAAATATGTCTGTAGTTCTAAGTAGAACCATTGCCTTTACTGAAGAACTCTTCAAGAACCATCTTTTTAAAGAGTGTAGAACCATATCAATACATCCTCCATCAATCTGAAGAACAATTTTACCATTTTAAGAACGCTTTAAGCATGAAAATGCTTATGTGAGTGTTCATGGTTCTACATGGAACAACTGTCTTTCCTAAAGAGCCCTTGAAGAACCATAGAAGAAGAGTGTAGAACCATATACAACACATTCTCCATCAACCTGAAGAACTATTTCACCTCGAAAAAGAACATTTTAAGCATGCAAATACCTCTGTGGTTCTAAATATTGTCTTTACTAAAGAACTCTTCAAGAACCATCTTTCTTAACTGCACTGCACCATTGAGGAACCTTCTGGAACTGCTTTAGGAAAACTAGCTGTTAATATAGATGGTAATGTTGTGATTTCATTGTAACCGTAGTTTTTTCATCTCTGCCTGTTTTCAGGAATCTGTCCGGTGAACCGTAACTCTATAGACTACTTGCTCTCCCGCAACGGGACGGGAAACGCTGTGGTCATCGTGGTCGGAGGAGCTGCGGAGTCGCTGGACTGCGCACCAGGGCTCAACTCCGTCACTCTGAAAAACCGCAAAGGCTTCGTGAAGCTGGCGCTGCAGAAAGGGTAAGAAAACAGAACAAAAGACTGAGCAAAATGAGAAAAGGTGTCAGCAAACATGAAAAAGAAAAGAAAAACAAAACAAACAAACAAAAAAGTACACATTATTTATACCATCATTTAATTATTCAAAACATCATTATTCAAATTATTCATAAAATCACGTGTGAGTGTTCAGTGAGTCACTCTTCACCTTCATTCCAGCTTCCATTCTTTTCAGGAGACTCACTTTCAGTTCCTCAAAGAATCTGCAGACTCACCTCCAAAGTTCAGTCTTAGAAGTTAGTTTAGCGTTTTATTATTAGAGAAATGTATGGAGGCTTTTCCATTTTGACTCACCTACATAAAGTTTAGAACCTAATGAGGCAAACTTAAAACCTAAAAATTCAGAATTAAAAACTTATTCAGAGCACAGCTTTGAACTTTTTCATAAAATAAATTTAAAGTGTTTCTTAGTGTAAATTTACACACACACACACACACACACACACACACCCACACACACACACACACACAAAGACAAAACTGACAGACGCCGCTGTCGGACCAAAACCTCGTATCTCCAAAATGAGAACTGATAAATGATTTGGACATACAACAAATTTAGAGATACAAGGATTTGTTCTGACAGCAGCAGTATTGTTGTTGCTGGAAGAAAACCTCGTATCTCCTAAATGGTAACTTTACAGGAGAACGAAAAAACATACTGTACTTTTAATGTAAGTCAATGGAACCAGAATTTTTTCCAAGTCATTTTGGGTCGTTTCTTTTAGTCCATTCATAATGAAATTTACATACAATGTAAAGGGTAACAAGTATTTTCAAATTATGTCAAAAACTGAAAAACGTCAAAAATGGAGATATGACGTTTTCTTCCGACAGCAGCGATATATACATATACATATATATACATATGTGACCTATAGAATCCTATAAAGTCCTATTCCATCCACACAGAAGATACACAAGATCACTGTTCACTGAATTTGAGGACAAAATGTAGGTTATATTTGTGTGTTCTGCGTCCTCTTGGCAGTGGACGGTACAGACCAGGTGACTCAGCATAAACTGCAGCCAGGAGCAGAAAACAGGCTTTTCCCTGGAATGTGTGTTTTTTGTTATTGATTGGTTGGGGGGGAGGAGGGGGGGTTTGGGGGGCACGAGTAACTGAGCAGGTCAACTCAGAGCAAAATTATACACTCGCATTCAAAAGTCTGGAATCAGCTGCCGTTTCATTTTTATTTATATTATATACAATAATAACATCGACAATATGTGGATTTAAATATTTAAAACTATTCGATTACAGTTTTCAGATGATTAATTCAATATTTCAGGGATTGTGTGAACAAGAAGTAGATAATCATTAATGATCTATTTAAGTTCATCGTTGTCAAGTTATCTGCTTTGAAGTTTGGTCTCTGTTTCTGAGTGTTATGTCATACAGAGTCCTACTGATGATCCGAAAGCTGTGAAGTTGCTCAGGATGATTTTATATGTTCATCTGAAACCAAACTGGTTTAATGTTGTTGAAAACAGTGACTCTAAACTTTTGTATGTCAGTGTGTGTGTGGGGGAAAGGTCTGGTTTCTTTACAGTGATAAGGTAGAGACGTTCTAATGGAGGTTCCACTCTGCAGTGAGAACTTGCATGACCATTAAACGGTTCTTAATGCAGTGCAGTGTTCAAATTCCACACAGGCTTAGATATTAAATCTGCACACTTAAGTAAAGTGAAATAACCCGTAAGACCCTGATTAACCTTCACTTCCATTTTCGAGCAGCACTAATTACAAGAAAATACAAGCGTTAAAAAACACTACAGCGCATGCTGTGAGGTTTACTGTCTGCAAAAAAGGGTTCTACTTAGCACCAAAAGGGATGTATATACAGTACATACACACACACTGACCTGGTGGTGGTGTATTAGTGTGTGTTGCACTGGTACGAGTGGATCAGACACAGCAGTGCTGCTGGAGTTTTTAAACACTGTGTCCACTCACTGTCCACTCTATTAGACACTCCTACCTTGTTGGTCCACCTTGTAGATGTAAAGTCAGAGACGATAGCTCATCTGCTGCTGCACAGTTTGTGTTGGTCATCCTCTAGTCCTTCATCAGTGGTCACAGGACGCTGCCCACAGGACGTGTTTCAAAACTCCAGCAGCACTGCTGTGTCTGATCCACTCAGACCAGCGCAACACACACTAACACACCACCACCACGTCAGTGTTACTGCAGTGCTGAGAATGATCCACTACCCAAATAGTACCTGCTCTGTGGGGGTCCATGGGGGTCCTGACCACTGAAGAACAGGGTAACAGAGAAACAGATGGACTACAGTCTGTAACTGTAGAGATACAGAGTGAAACTATATGGTCAGTGGAGCTGATAAAGTGGACAGTGAGTGTAGAAACAAGAAGCACTCGGAGCTTGGTGTGTGTGTATATATATATATATATATATATATATATATATATATATACATAATATTTGATAGCAGCTTTTTTGATACTATGCATTACATTTATTAAAAGGGAATCTTTTAAAAGAACCCTTTTTGCCACCGAGGAACCACCAGTTCTTTAAAGAACTATTGTGGTAAATAAGTGTAAAGAACATTTTTGAGGTTTAAAGAACCTACAAAAAATGTAAAAGTTCTATCCGTTCTATTCCATAAGATTTTTTCTCTTAGAACAAGTCAAGAACCATTTACGCAGCATTATTTTTAAGAGTGTTTGTGGAAAACCTGTATACACTGCACATCACTGAACGTTGCTGTCCGTCTGTGTGTCCCTCAGAGCTGACCTGGTGCCCGTGTACTCGTTTGGGGAGAACGAGTCGTATAAGCAGGTGATGTTTGCGGAGGGCTCGTGGTGGAGGCAGGTCCAGCGCAGGCTGCAGAAGCTGCTGGGTTTTGCTCCCTGTCTGTTCCACGGCTGCGGGTTCTTCTCGTCCGAGAGCTGGGGCATGGTTCCCTACTGCAAACCCATCAACACCGTCGGTGAGACATCAGCAGTGTAGCCTAGCAGAGAAGCAGTGTGTGTACATGGATGTATTAAGCGTGATTCATCATTTCATATCATTTAAAAGACTAAATTTGTGTTTATAACCTTCCAGCTAAATGCGATAACTACTGTTGGTAATTAGCTGGATCTTCCAATATATCTCTTCGGAACTGATTCCAGTATGAAATAACATGAAGTAATTAACAATATTATTTTGGAACAAAGTTCTAGACGTATCTTGTTTGTTTTGATGTGTAAAGGCGACACAGACACGCTCTGATCTGTCCACGAATGCTTCTCTTCCAGTTGGAGAGCCGATCACAGTGCCCAAAGTCGAGGATCCGACTCCGGACATGATCGACATGTACCACACCATGTACATCAACTCGCTCACTACGCTGTTCGACAAATACAAGACGCGCTTCGGCCTGAAAGAGACCGACTATTTGCTCGTCCGCTGAGAAACGCCATGACGGAGCTGTGCACGCTACGCCAAAGCAGGCCTGGCCCAGAGGAGGCCGAAGGAACCGATTTCTCTTCAAAGACAGACAAAATGTTATCGTCACTTAGGCCTTTATCTGGCGTCACTTCCACTGTCAGATTTCACTCTATAAAGCCGAATATGCTTCACACTCAAGCTGTTAAAACCCCCAACACAAAGACTTACATTGTCCGGAAAGAGACTCATTTACACAACAGTGTGTAATTCTGTATGCTTGCCACTAGGTGGCACTTTTCAGTAACAGACTACTATATAAACCACTAGATGTTAGTTCACAGTAGCAGAAGCAGTATATTCTTAAACGGTGATCATCTGCATCCATAAACAATGTTTGTACTCATAGACGATGATGATCAATCACTCACAAACCTCTCTTTGGGTAAATTTCTATAATTTTTGACCCTTTTTTGATTGTAAATGTGAAAGCAACTTGCCCCCCACCCCACCCCACCCCACCCCGACCCCTTTAAGTTATTTTTTTACTTTTGCACAAACAATGCAGTATAAGAGTTGCCTTACAGACGCAGTGATGAGGTTCTTTAGACGGTGCTCCAGCCTGCTGTGTATGCAGGAGCGACATAAACAGTGATTATGTTCATTAATAATTCATGCCTTGTTGCACGAAGGGGAAGGTGGTCCGATCCTTCACTCAGGCTGATTAGTAGGTGATATAAAGCTGAGAAAGAAGTTGAATTTGCTGAAGATGGAGAAGGAACGTTAATGTGAAGATGATATGTGGTTGCAGATGATCTGACTACCCCTCTATTTTCATGTCAAATCACTGAACAGATTATTTATTAAGACTACATTCTTAAAAATGGTTCGTTAGGGTTCTTTAGTGAAGACAATGGTTTGACCTGGAACCATGAACCCTCCAAAGACCATGTGCATGCTTAAATGGTTCTTTGCATCATGAAATGGTTCTTCAGATTGATGGAGAATGTGTTGTAATAGGTCTATATAGCACCAAAGAGGGTTCTTCTACTGCATATGATGTCAAGCTTGTAACAACAGAAGAACATTTTTTTGGTGCTATTTAGAACCATATTCCACACATTCTCCATCTGGAGAAACATTTCACTATGCAAAGAACCATGCAAATGCTAAAGAACCCTTGAAGAACCATCTTTTTAAGAGTGTATGCTGAAGTATACATTGTTTTTTTTTGTCAGATATTGATTATTTTATAAACTACAAGCAAAATAAGCAGAAATAACATAAACAAATGAGAGAAAATGGTCAAGTTGCTTAATAAAACCATCAGCGATGGTAAAACCATCATTGAAAGCAAACATACAGCAGTGCCTTTGTTTGATTTGGCCAAATACGGCCGTCTGAGTGTCCACAGAAACCTTTTTATTGATTTATAACTGATTGAGCTGCGGTAAAATGTTTAATATCCCTCCTTTAACTGCTTTCCACAACGTATGGACGCATGGAGCCGACAGTGAGAAACTTCAAGACTCTTTAGTCTGCGATTAGGGTCATCTGAGTTCAACCGTTCAGGCGGTTCTTGTATTGAAGTTCTATGATTGCTGTGAAATGAAGTGCTTCAGTGGTTATTTACAGCCAGCAGGCCTCCACTGCACTGTCTGATTCCCTAAATTAAACTTTTGTATGTTTTTAGAATAAACAGTTCATAAAACTATAGAACTCTGTGCCTCCTTCTTTGTACAGAAGAAGACAATATACAACCTTGCTTCCAAAAAAGTTGGAAAAAATGTAAATACAAACGATGATGTGCAAATCATTTAAAGGAACTCATTTACATATATCCACCAATTCAGCCTACAGCAGTTTAGCCCCACCCACTCACGCTGTTATAAGTAAGGAGTGTTTCAGCTAGGACTGTGCTTTAAATGAGGTGCGATACAGAGCAGCCAATCAGAACAGAGCGCATTTGCATATATCAGCCATAAAGGCGCCACAACAAAAAACAGCCTGTTTAATACTAAAGTATGAAGAGAGGCTGGAAAATGGTAATTAAGAAATTAATTGTGTGTTTTGGTGCATAACCACAAACACAACACTGTGTCCACTCACTGTCCACTCTGTTAGACACTCCTACCTTGTTGGTCCACCTTGTAGATGTAAAGAGATCACCTGAGCTCATCTGCTGCTGTACAGTTTGTGTTGGTCATCCTCTAGTCTTTTATCAGTGGTCACAAACCACTGCCCACAGGACGCTGTTGTCTGGATATTTTTGGTTGGTGGACTATTCTCAGTCCAGCAGTGACACTGAGGGGTTTAAAGACTCCAACAGCACTGCTGTGTCTGATCCACTCAGACCAGCACAACACACACTAACACACGACCACCACGTCAGTGTTACTGCAGTGCTGAGAATGATCCACCACCCAAAAAGTACCTGCTCTGTGAGGGTCCATGGGGGTCCTGACCACTGAAGAACAGGGTAAAAGGGGGCTAACAAAGTATCAGAGAAACAGATGGACTACAGTCTGTAACTGTAGAACTACAAAGTGCACCTATATAGTAAGTGGAGCTGATAAAATGGACAATGAGCGTAGAAACAAGGAGGTGGTCATAATGTTATGCCTGATCGGTGTTTATGTCACAAGTGGAAATCTGGGAAAGTGCAGGAAAAGGGCCTTTTAAAGCAACAGATTAGCAAAAAAATCTATTTTACCGTTTATCATTTCACCCAACCCCCCAGTGTAGTCGATCAGCCAAGTGAAGTTCGGTGTCTGAAAGTTTACTTCTTCAGTTTTAGCTCTGGAGCTACAAAGCCTCTCAGTGTCTCTAATAGACTTGATTCTGTGGTTTCTGATACTGTCTGACTCACTGTTACCTATAAACATGGACTAAAGTACAGACACAGTTCAAGCTGCTACAACTGTTTTAGCTAAATAATCACTTTTCAGAGTTTCCTTTACTTGTTAGCTACATTAGCCTCGTAGCTCCAGTGCAAAAACTGACCTTCAGGCACCCGAGATGTATTGGCTGATTGACAACATTTGGGATGGGGGTGGAAAATTGTGTAAATTCCATTTTTTGCCAAACATTTTCTTTAACAGACGGCGTTTAATTCCCCCATTTGGGTTTAGCATTCATACTCACAGATGTTCATCATCAGGATCCTACAGTGATTCATTTATGGTATGAATATATTGACATAAGATGCAATTGGGTTTTATGGAGCCCCTAAGTTGACATGGTGCTTATAAGACGTGGCCACAAGTTAATATATTGAGTACACAAATTACCACTGAGGCCAGAAATGACTATATTAACGCCACAAATTAATATACTGAGTGCATAAATTATTATACTGAAGCCACAAATTACTATATTGAGTACATGAATTAATATATTCATGCCACACATTAATATACTGAGGCCACAAACTACTATATTTTAGCCATAAATTAATATATTGAGACCACAATTTACTATATTAAGGCCACAAATCAATGAATTGAAGCCAAAATTGAAGTGATATATTAAAGCCACAAATTACTATATTGAGGTCACATATTAATATATTGAGTACACAATATATTGAGTACACAAATTAATATATTGAGACTACAAATTACTAAGCTGATATTTGTGGCCTCAATATAGTAATTTGTGGCCACGCCTCATTAAAAATTAATCACCAGGCTCTGCAGGGTTTAACTTTCTTTAAGAAAAGTAGTCCATGAAGAACCAAGGCCTGAAAGGAGAACAAGGGTTGCCAAAAAAGACAACACTGTACTATAAGATGCTGTGCTTAAGGTGGCATTGCTGCCTCATACAGATCTACAAATGGCTTATTGACATATTATTCTTTATATGAACTGTTTGAAATGAAAAGTTATATATTTATTAGTTCACATGGACGTGGTGCTGGCATGGCTGCTACCTACAATGTCCTGTCACTTCTTGACCCCATAAACCAGCCATGAAGGAGTCGTGAACAGGAAAACACGATGCTGCCCTCGAGTGGACCACAGTGGATTTAGTAGCGCCCGTTAGTTTTGTATACAAAACGTTTTCTTTTTCTTTCTTTCTTTCTTTCTTTCTTTTATGAAATATGAAATATGGAATGCTACTATTCTTTTTCATTTGAATGCATTCGAATTTCATTTTTTAAGTGAGCACAGGATAATTGTTTGAATAAAACAGTTTCATTTCATTGTCATTCATATAATAATAATAATAATAATAATAATAATAATAATAATCATCAACAACAACAACAACAACAATAATAATATAATAATAAGAGTAATCATAACAACAACAACAACAATAATAATAATAATAATAATAATAATAATACTAATAATAATGAGTAATCATAACAACAACAATAATAATAATAATAATGATATTAATAATAAAATTTTTTCATTGTATTGCTTTTTAATTGTATTAACTGTCGTTGTTATGATGACGAAGGTCACTTTTATTATCCTCCTTTTTTAAATTCCATAATAACAGTCACGTTACCCCTTTTCCACTTCCTCATATTTTGCTCAGCACGAGTTCTCTAACGCCACTTCCCCGCCCCCTGTCTCTTTGATCGACAACCGAAGAGCCAATCATTGTCGAGCGTCTTGCATCGCTCACCGATCGACAGGCGTAGGAGCCAATCAGCGCGGCGCGGAGGCTATCCAGGCGAGCTGGGTTTAGTAATGGCTACCTAAGCAGCGGACTCTCACTTTGTTTATATCGCCGCGCTCGGATCCGCCGGAGCCGCTTTGAACTCCTCATTTCTGATTCACTCTTTTATTTCGCGCTGGTTTAGACAGCCGTGTGGCAAAGCCGCGGGTGTGCGCCGTGTGGAGGGGGATGAGTTAAGCTGCTGAATGAGCGGAAAAGGCCCTGATGGTGCCGATTTAAGGATGAACTCGGTCTGGGATCTGGCGGTCTCCTCCGCTTCGGCCAGCAGCAGCAGCAGCAGCCCGGCAGCGGCCGCCTCCTCTCGGGCTCTGCATGTGGAGCTCACCTCGCAGCAGGTACGGAGCGGAGGAGAACCGGGCACTGCACTGTCCGAGCTCTTCTCCTCCTCCTTCTCCGTCTCCTTCTCCTTCTCCACTGTCACATGGCAGCATGAGCCGGGCCTGCAGTTGCTCCAGCGGGCAGTGCACTCTTTAAAAGATGGTTCTTCAAGGGTTCTTTAGTAAAGGGAATGGTTCTGTTCTGAACTATAGGACCATTTGCATGCTTACATGGTTATTTGCATGGTGAAATTGATCTTCAGATTGATGAAGAATGTGTTGCATGTTATGGTTCTTTGGTTCTGTATAGCTCTAAAAAGGCTTCTTCTGTTGTTACAATGTCAACAGAGGAGCCCTTTTTGGTGCTGTAGAACCAAACACCATATGTTCTCCATCAGTCTGAAGAATCATTTAAGCATGCAAATGGTTCTTTGAGTGTTTATGTTTTATAAAGAACCGTTGTCTTTATTAAAGAACCCTTGAACCATCTTTTTAAAGAATGTTCATTGCATGGTGAATTGGTTCCTCAGACTGATACAGAATATGTTGTATATGGTTCTATATAGAACATGCTTGAGAATGGATCTGTATAGCATCAAAAAGGGTTCTGCGATTGTTATGATGTGCGTGTAAAACCATATACAACACATTCTCCATCAGGCTTAAGAATGATTACACCATGCAAAGAACCATCTAAGCATTAAAATGGTGCTATGGTTCTAAATAGAACCCTTGAAGAACCATCTTTTTTTATATGTGTATACTAGTGCAGGAGGAAATCACCCCAAGCTGTGTTCCGGCCTTCCCAAAGTAGAGCTGGAAAACATTATCACTGGTTTCATTTTCTGTCTCAGTCAGTTTCAGATTGACTTTACTTGAAATAACCTAAACTGTCATTCAGCTGATGTTGATGAGGCTTTGCTGATCCATAGCTTTCTTAAAGAGTTAAAGGTGAACTCCACCGATTTTTCAAAACTTCTGCACAATTAAATGGCTGAGATATAAACCAAGTTCATTCAGAGTGGTTTGGTGTGAAACGCTCTGTTCTAGACAAACTTACTGAGTCAGAACTGTTCACAGTGGTGGTGATAGGAACCAGACGTCCATCTATAAAGCCCCCTTACAGAAAGTTACTACATGAAATGGTTATGAATTCACTGCCTGATGACTGAGACACTGTTTTATGATAGTTTAGAGAAGATTTTGGCCTTAAACTCCATTCATGGTGGAGGGATACATAATATTCAGGGTGTTCTGACGCAAAATATTCCCCAAAGAAAAGTTATTATTTCAGATTTTCCACTATTTTCCATCATCAACATTCCATATAAACTCAGAAGACTCGTGTAGGTTCACTGGTGGTTCTGGATAGTAAATAAAATGTCTATATTTGTGTTGTAGTCATGGCGACCCCTGGTTCCTATCACCACCACTGTAAAGACATCTGAACCATTTCACACCAAACCACTCTGAGTCTCTCTGATTACACTGAATTATGGAGGAATTTTTGGAAAATGGTTAGAATTCCCCTTTAAAGCTCTGTGTCAGCGCAAAGTGACCTTAATTTGCATACTTAATGATATGAAAAATATCAAGTTTATATATATCTATATATTTATATCTATATATTTATATATATATATATTATATTTAAATTTAAAAGAAAGAAAGTCTAAAGAATACATGTTTGACATAGCTGTCCCTGTCAGTTAGGAGGGAAAAATAACTATATATCTGATATAAAGCTTTATCAGAGCACCACCATTGTTTTTGTAGCTTGTTTGAACCGTGTGTTTCTAACTCACTTCTAATGTAAAGACCGGTCACTGTCCTGTTAGCTTAGCATAGCCTGCTAGCGGTTCGGACGCAGCTGAAGTCAGCTTCTTGTTCCAATTCCCCCGTTCCACCTTAAACAGTGCAGCACTTGCGTTCTGGCGCCTGAGGCCGTTACATGTAACTGCCGCACCGTTTAAGGTGGAATGGGAAAATTCGAAGGAGAAGCTAGCGAATAGGAAGCTAACTTCAGCCTCGTATTTATAAGCAGAACTGCGACTGACTGAATAAATAAACAAGGAAATAGACGCTAGTTTGAATTTAAATCACTTCTTTTGGATGATTTAGGTTTAAGTGACGTGAATTTGTGGAGTTAAACTTCACTTTAATGTCTGACAGCAGCAAAATGAGCATGCTAGCGTGTTAGCATGTTAGCCAAAACGCTAATCCATAATATATTTAGTAGTTAGTTAGCCGGATATTCTCGAGTGATAGATGTCAGTGCTTCAGTTTGAACTCTCTTTCTGCTGAAAAACGAGAGGAATTTCCATTAATTATGTGTTAAATTAGGCTTGCAGTGAGTGAATGAATGAATGGAGGGATCTGCAAACTGATCTCAGTTTGACAGCAAAGCTCCCGAGTACATAAAAGTGCTATATCAAGCCTGATTAAAGGGGAATTCCAATGATTTAAAAAAAAAATCTGCATAATTCAGTCTTTGAGATGTAAACAAAGTCATTCAGAGTGGTTTGGTGTGAAATGATTCATTGTAGAGAAACGTATCAACTTAGATTTCTTTACAGTGGTGGTGATAGGAACCAGGGGTTGTGTACAACGCACATATAACCATTTTATTCACTATCCATAACCACCAGTGAACCTACACGCGTCTTCTGAGTTTTATGTGTGATGGTGAGGATGGTAAGATTGAATTAAATTATTTTTAGTGTGAACTATTTTGCCTCACAACACCCTGCATGTACAGATAAACTTCAAAACTATCGTAAAACAGTGTCTCAGTCATCAGGCAGCGTATTTACAGCTATTTCATGTAGGAACTTTCTGTGAGGGAGCTTTTAGAGGTGGACGTCTGGTTCCTGTCACCACCACTGTGAACAATTTTGACTCTGTAAGTTTGTCTAGAACAGCGTTTCACACCAAACCACTCTGAACCACTCTGTTTAGATCATAACTGTTTAATTATGCAGAGAATTTGAACAGGAGTTCTCTGTTAAGTTACACTACTCAGCTCAGACCTTTTTCTAGGCATTTTAGGCATTTTCACTGTGACTAATATAAGCTGGATTGTGTAGGTTTCAGTGGTTAGCTTGGGGTACAGTAAAACATTATAGTACCAGCATAATTAACTACTTTGGATTGCCTTAGCTAACAACTGTAGGCCACTCAAAGCAAATAAAATGTAATGATGTTTCATGCATCATTTGCAACAGTGATTACTTTCTTTTCTCTTTTCTGATGCCAGTGCTCCTCTCGTTGCTGTGGAAATGGTTTTGGTTAGGGGGTTTTCTCAACCTCTGTTTTCTGTTAAGACTGAAGAAGGTTGTCTTTGATCCCCCCACAAGTAAAAAGTGAGGAAATGTGAAGTTCAGCCATGAAAGCCCCTTTTGATCACGTTCTGCATGGCAGGTGAAACAAACAGTGAAAGTCACACCTGTCACAAGTTTTTTCCTCAGGAAGTGGCATCACAGACTCATGCAACTTTGAGTGTCATATGAGACGAAGTCCCAATAGACTTCCATGAGTTGTTATACTGACTTCAAGGGGAACTCACTGATTTTTCAGAATTTCTGCATAATTAAATGGTTAAGTTCATTCAGAGTGGTTTGGTGTGAAACGCTCCATTCTAGAGAAACTTACCGAGTCAGAACTGTTCACAGTGGTGGTGATAGGAACCAGACGTCCACCTCTAAAAGCTCCCTCACAGAAAGTTACTACATGAAATGGATATGAATTCACTGCCTGCTGACTGAGACACTGTTTTATGATAGTTTTGAGTACTTAAACTCCATTCATGGTGGAGGGATACATAATATTCAGGGCTCTGTGAGGCAAAATAGTCCCCAAAGAAAACATATTATTTCAGATTTTCCACTATTTACCATCATCAACATTCCATATGAACTCAGAAGACTCGTGTAGGTTCACTGGTGGTTCTGGATAGTAAATAAAATGTCTATATCTGTGTTGTAGTCATGGCGACCCCTGGTTCCTATCACCACCACTGTAAAGACACCTGAACAATTTCACACCAAACCACTCTGAATCACTCTGTTTACATCTCACACACTGAGTTATACAGACATTTTGAAAAATCAGTGGAATTGCCCTTTGACACTTCCCATTATAACAGGCTTTACTATCTCCTAGTCAGTGTGAACTGCACAATATTTCATTTTTTTAATTGTTATTGCAATATTGGCATTTGTAGTACAGATATTATCCAATGACTGTGTTAATTGACAGTGGGTAGCGCTTTCGCCTCACAGCAAGAAGGGCCTGGGTTCGATTCCCCGGCCAGGTGACCAGAGTCCGTTCTGTGTGGAGTTTGCATGTTCTCCCCGTGTCTGTGTGGGTTTCCTCCCACAGTCCAAAGACATGCAGTTGGGCCGATTGGACACGGTATATTGCGCCTGGGTGTGTGTGTGTGTGTGTGGGTGTGTATGAGTGTATATGTCTGTCTGTCTGCCCTGTGATGGACTAGTGGCCTGTCCAGGGTGTAGCCTGCCTTCCGCCCAATGACCACTGGGATAGACTCCGGCTCCCCCCGTGACCCAGGAGGATAAGCGGCTTAGAAAGTGTGTTGTAAACAATCACAGCTTTAGATGAGTTTCTGCGTTTGAGGTTATGTAAACAGTGTGTTCATCATGTTGTTGTACTGTTTGAATTTTCCCGACAGTTCAGTCCACCCATAAAAATGGTTCTGAAAGGGTTCTTTAGTTAAGACAGTGGTGCTACATAATACCATGAACACTCAAAGAACAATTTGCATGCTTAAAGGGTTCTCTGCATGGTGAAATGGTTCTTCAGATTGATAAAGAATGTGTTGTACATGATTCTGTACATGAAGTTGTTCCATATAGCACCCAAAAAAATGTTCTGCCCTTGTTATCATATCAAGCTTGTAACAATTAAAGAACCCTTTTTGGTGACCTACATATGACACATTCTCCATCTGAAGAACCACCTCACCATGCAAAGAACATTTAAGCATGCATATGGTTCTT